ACTGTTTCTGCAACCTGGGACAGCTGCTTAGAAGGTGGTCCACCCCCTAAAAGGAAATCCAGTAAATCAATATATACACAATAATTAGGCATTTCAATTAACTTTGCCAGCAGGTGTAAGGAAGTGGTATATCACTCACCTGTGCGTGAAGCTTCACGTTTTTGTGCCGCAATCTCCTCTTTTGCTTTTGACTGCAACACATACCACCGCTTCTCGCAATCCTCACTTGTGCGCACAACCAACGGAAAGGAGGCATTTATCTGTTGTGCTATAGTGTCCCAGGCTTGCTTCTTGGCTTGCACTGTGACACTGGGGCTAAATTTACCCCTCAAAACACTTTTATGCTCATTGATCAATTGAGCCAAAAGCAAACACTGTTCCTCGGTCCAGTTGGGTTTTCTTGTTCTTTTTCTCTCCATTGTTGTTCACTAGTTTGTAGCAGATGTAAAAGCCAGACAAGCCTACTTCTTATACACCTGTCAGCAATCAAGGACATTGATGAAAGCTGTGCTGTGTTACACTCGTTAATACCAAATTAAGTTGAGATGTTGATAGTTGAAAGTACAAAAGCATGCAATTAATAAAAGCAAATTAATATAACCATCACTATGTGAATATGTGGGCATTCAGTAGGATTATTTTATAGTACAGTTTACTATTCATTTAACATGTATTTTCTTTTATGTGATATGTTATTTACAATTACACAGTCTTCATAAGATTAGATTCCATAATTGAGTTTATCAATTATCACCAAAAGTAAGTTTTTTATCCAGCTTTTAGGATCAACCAATCACAGCTTTGGAAATGATGACTCATACCTAGCAACGGGGTCAACCACACCTCCTCACTAAGATAGGAGCTTCTGTCCATTCCTTGCTCAGAGTTCTCTGAGAGTGTTCTGGAATCACTCGTAAGCTAAGACTCCTTGCTGGGAATTTTTAGGCTAAGTTAGGAGCTCTCTGAGAGGATTCTCAGAATCTTTAGGAATACGGGCCCAGGTTTTTCTGATTATCAGATTATTGAAGTGCACGTAAACGTGTCAAATCGGATTATTACCATTACCTGATTATTCCCAGTTATCTGATTATTGTGCACATGTAACTGTGCTCAATGTTCATGCTATTAGAACCATTGTTAGCTGCTGGATCAGCCACCTCCATGTCGAGAGCCATGTTTAGACAATTCCATCCCAGACTCTGAATCAAAGCTCTGAATGTTGCATAAAACTCCTTTAAAAAAATTACCATAAAACTTCAAATAACAGCCCTGAAATCAACTCAGTTTTGGACAGGCCTTTAATTTCTTTCACATAAAACTGTTGCTCAGCAGAGATTGGGAAATATGATCAAACTGTTTATTTAAACCAGTAGGCTATGAATAGTAGTTGTATAGAACTTAGGCTTCAGATAATATGTCAATTATGAATCATTTATTTGATCTCGCTCTGACAGACAGCACATCAGAGCGAGAGAGTTACGACACTCGAGGATTACAGCACTCGGCATACTGACACAACACCACTTTATCCTGTTAAAACAATACTCACAACTTGGATTAATTTTTATTTAAAACCCTTTTAGTTCTTTTGATCTGAGGACCCTTACGGACTAAAGAAATATGAATAACTTCTAGGGTAATCAAGGAATGAACACATGATTTGAGGTAGCCAGCAGGCAACCAGTCCAGGCATCTAATTGAGACAGGCCTTTATTTGTCAAAATGTGTAGCCATGCCGGGCTAGTAAAATGGACTGGGTGTTTTATTAGGACAAGGCTTTTAAGTTTTACAGTAAATAAAACATGAATATCTTGTAAATTAGAAGGCATTGTTTTAGACAATTCTGCCCAACACGGTTGAAAAAAGGCTATGTATAAGCACACTGTAAGCCCTTATCCATCCATGACACAAAATTTTAATGTAGAGTCTACACCAATGCCTCGCATTGTCAGAATGACACAAAAACACTTCCCTTGTGAGCTTGACATAATTTTTGAGTTTTGAGTTAATTTGACTAAAATTGATTAAGCTGATTTCGCCTAATTAGTTGTATATTGTATACTTAATATATTGTAGTGTGCTAGGGTTAAATGATAGGAGGTTCCCAACATGCTGTGAGATTGTATTTAAGGCCATCAGCCAAAGAAAACTGTTTAAATGTGTTCTAAATCACTCACATTACCCATTACACAGTGATTAATGTTTCTGTATGTCACAATGGTTCTAATAGAGTACACTTAATAATGTGGCAAAAGATATTTTGCACAATGAGTTGAGTCATAGACACAGTTAGTGACTTCCCACCTCTGTGGATATTATAGTGTCTCACATAAAGTTGTGCTGTGGTAAATTACAGAGCACTTCCTGGTTCAGAGTTTATCTCTTTGCCTTGTTCTTGCAATTGAGAAACTTAAGCTCACCACAACACATTTTTATAATTCAATGAAATAATTATAGTAAAAATGTTAAAATGTGTAGTCAATGTTTTCATGTTCATATGACAGAATTAAATACTCAAAAAAAAAAAAGTAATGTTTAACTGACATAGAATTCCTGTCAGATTAGGGTCATGTGACACATTTATTTTGTGTCTGGTGTACTCAAATCTTTTATGTTACTGTATTGTACTAAACTAAAAGTTCTTCTTAAATAATTTCTGTTTTAAAATGTACAGAAATAGCAGGATGATCCTTTAAGCTGTGTAGCCTGAAGTCTAAGTTTTATTTTAACTTGCTCCAACATATTTCTTTCACAGTGGGTCACAAAGTTCAAAAAGAAGTTATACTCCATCATGGACAGGTGCTGCTGCTGCCAGGGGAGACTGTTTGACAAAATCACCTGTCTTGAGAAATTAATGAGACTTACAACTCTCCCTGTCTCTCTCTTTTTTCAGTGTGTGTGTGTGTGTGTGTGTGTGTGTGTGCGCACGTGGTGTGGTGAAGGGACCTCAGTTCATTCACACAGGCAATCTAGGAGTTATCAGCTCCAAGGACAAGCAAATAAAAGCCACCCTGCCTGTGCGGGGACATTTTATCAAGCCCTGCTACCCTGGATCTGGTCACAAACAAGCCAAGAGCCAACTCTTCTTTAGATCCACCTGCTGAAACATTCACCTGTTAAAAAACAATGTCACAAAGAGCAAATGAGAATGAATCTTTAACATAATTGTCCATGGAGTAAATCATAAGAAAACACAAACACACTTGTTTGGGCTTCTGAAAAATGATCAGACAGGCTCATACTCACCGGCCTCTGTTTCTAAGTTACGTCACAACACTGACCTTAATGAAACCCTGCTGGGAAGTTAAGCAATAAGTTGGCCAAAAGGTGGATAATTGTAACTTGAAAACATTCTGTTAATGTTTTGCCAAGGATCATATGGACAAACCTGTACAATATCTGATTTTAGGGGAATACTTTACCCACAAAATGACCATTTGTTTATCGATTACTCACCCCTCATTTTATGAGATGGAAGGACTGGAGACTAAAGAAGTGGTTTTGAATCTTTTTTTTCACATACTTTTTCTTCAAAAGTTAAAAGGGGACCACAAATATCATTAAATTGTATTGTCAAATCAAGTGGACATATACTTAAAGTTCAATTGGAAATGACTTCATACTATTTTTTATGACGGCTACTTTTGTGAAGCAACTTTTACAGATGCTACAATACTGAAAATGCCATTTGTTGTATATTAAAGGAGCACTTACTCCCCCAAACGACTCTTTATATATATATATTACTAACCTTGTGTTATGCTGAATTTGTGAAGAAAACTTTGTTTTTCTTGCATGCCTCCACAGTGAAAGAAGAATCCAGAAATTGAGAAAATTCCAGATGAATGGAACTCATAGGGGTCCACGTTTAACAACAGCAAAATTATATCATAACATCTGTTTACAAACTCTCACACAACTTGCGCAGTATAATCCAAGCCTCATTTATCCAGTCGTATTCTCAGTACTTCCCAAACTCATGCATTTCACTAAAATTTCACTATTTAAAAGAGTCCTGACTGGATAAATGAGACTCGGATTAGCCTGCAGGAGTTGTGTGACAGTTTGTAAACAGATGTTTTCATATAGTTATGCTGCTCTTAATTGGGCCACCCACTATTTCAATTCATCAAGAATTTTCTCTGTTTTCGGATTTTTCGTTCACCATGGAGGCATGCAAGAAAAATATTTTTTCTCCCCAAAATTCAACTTAACAAGGGGTTACTAACTGATATACAAATGATCTATGATTTTGATGATGTCAGCTATTTTTCAGATTAGCAAGTTTCTCCACAACCAATCCATGCATCCCCTGACATTGCAGAAGTACAAGTACCACTGGTTGGGAATCACTGATTAAATGTTAGGGCTTCAGGGGGTGAAACTCAGCAAAGCGAATCAAACCTCCAGTTAAAGGGATGCTATTTCATTAACTGCTCTAGGTGACAGGTTTTTTAAGAAACTGATCCTTGGGGACATACCTCTACTTATAGTGTATCCATTAACTATTTTCTACCCATTAACTATTAACTACTAAGAATTTGGACATTCACTCTGTAGAGTTTTCTAAAGTGAAGTATTGTAATCATTGAAGGGAAAAAAAATCTGTTTTCCTTGACATTCTCTTTCAGACAAACACATGACTTGACTCTTTGACTTGCTTTTACTTTATAGGTATCTCATTTAACTCCTCTAAAGTAAGGCTGTATAGTCTGCTAACATTTTGGGCCTTCATCTCCACCAAACTCCCTATCATATTAGATAGATTTTCCAGTTTGTGTTCACCTAAGTGTGTTTCATTCAGCTCACGGTGACTTCCAGTGAAACCTTGCTATTAAGGCCCTGTTGCCTCACCGGGGCAGTTTTTTGGTCTCCCCCTCCTCCACCCCTCACCCTCTACCTCTGGTCAGGGTCGATCAATACTTCCCCTGTAGCTTATCACTAATGTGGAACTGGCTGTTTGTCCAAAGCCTGCTCTGTCTACATAAAGACTTGGAACGGGACAGCATCAAACCCAAAAGCACCACATATCACCTCATGAACCTGGAGCTCTGGACGCACTTCTGGACTTTTAACTGTTTGGAAAGACTTGGGGGACAAAGATACGCCGGTGCGAGAGGGTAGGAGCAGAGAGGAGAGAGTGGCCGGGAGGATCAGGAGCAGGAGGATGAGAGCGGGGTATGAATGAATGAATCCTGGAGAGAGGATCCACTTTAGAAACTTGAGGTGAGTTGGATGTTGTCTTAAAATAGGTCAGAATCCTTTAATAATGTTTTCATCTCATAGTTTTATTGGTAAAGTTGATCATTTGTGTGTCATTTTCAGCACAGAATTATTATGTTATATGGTTAAAAGCAAAAGAAATAAAGATGTACTGAATCTAGTGTGACATACAGTCAGAACCAACTCTATTTACAACTACATGTGCTAAATAAATTAGCAAAAAAGTTTGTTATAGAGAAAGACATGGGGGTCACACAGGTGTTCTTTTACTTTCTTTACTTTCTTCCTGACACTCACACACTTTAAATGCACACAGCTGCAGCCATCCCCACAATCAGTAAAAAAAAAAGGACACGGACTTTGGACACTTTGGATAAGCCGTGTGTATTTAGTCAGCATCACTGTCACCATTTTCCGTGGATTTTTAAGTTCTTCATTCATGTTTAATTTCAGATTATAAAGTGCTACATGTATAATTATGAATCACAGCTTACTCTGTTTCTCTCTACTTTGTTTCATGTTCTCACTTTCACTCTCTCCACTACTCTTCATGTCACCAAACTTCTTTTTCCTTTATCTCACCAGGTCGTCCATCCACCAGTGTGCATTAACAATTCCTCTGTCTGCATTATCTCCGGTAAATGTCCTCCAGAGCTGTGGAGTGTGACAATGGTGTTTGTGTCCTGTGTATCAAACGCCATTATCACACTAAATAGCTACAGTGTGAAAAGAGCCTCAACATGTCCCTCAGTCAGTCTCCCTCTGTTTGTATTGTGGCTTCTGTATCTGAATTTTCTCACCATAGATTTGTAATAGTTCCCTCATTCATTCTGTAAATCTTAGAAATGTGTTTATGTGACACCACTGAGGAGGAGCTGAGATAAAAATAGATACACTGTGTTGATACATGGTACATGATCTTGAGCTTCTGAGTGTGACCCACTTACTTTTGTGTTTGAGGTGCTAATTTGCTGCTGGAGACCACCTCCTCTGTGAGTACAACATAAAAATAGACGGCCCATTTGTTTTTTCATGCTGTCGCCATTTCTTGTGTTGACATCTCTCAAACTTTTTCCCAACACGTAAACAGGTAATCTGATCTAAACAACTGTAGCACTACATTTTAAGACCGTACAACTGTCTTCATCCTACAAATGACATAAATAAAGTGTTTGTTTTTTGTCTGTTGCTACAGAGTGAACTTTTCTCACATTCCTATGAACTAAATTAGACAAAATGTTCACATTTGATGCACATCTTCAAACCCAGCCCCGTGTACAAAGACAAGCAGATATTTGCACATCAGTGTCAACCATGATGCAATACCCTTAATCCCTCAAACCTGTGGGTCAGAGGTCCCAATACAGAAAATGTCTTGATTTAAAGGGACAGTTCACCCCAAGATAAAAAAAATACATATTTTTCCTCATACCTGTAGTGCTGTTTATCAGTTGAGATTGTTTTGGTATGAGTTGCAGAGTGTTGGAGATATCGTCCATAGAGATTTCTGCCTTCTCTCAAATATAATGGAACTAGATGGCACTCGGTTTGCGGTGCTCAAAGCTCCAACAATTACATTAAAAAAACTTTGATTTGTCAAGATAATCCACAGACCTTGTTGTGAGCAGTTTCGTGTAGGAACTATTTTCTTTCTACCAAACTACACCCGCCAACTATATCATCACACAGAAGGAAGTGTGCATCTACTCATGGACAAGAGGCTTAAGCTTGTGACAGATGCAAACATTAACGGCGTCCTCCTCGGCTGAGCTGTAATGATATCTAGCTCAGTGGTGCTAGGTGAGCAAGCAGTAGATGCAGCATTGATATAGTTTGCAGGTTAGTTCCAACATGAAACTGGTCACAACAAGGTCTGTGGATTATCTTGAGCAACCAGAGTTTTTAAAATACATTTTTTGGCGCTTTGAGCACCACAAACTGAGTGCAATCTAGTTCTATTATACTGGAGGGAAGGCAGACATCTCTACAGCTGATATCTCCAACACTCAGCAACTCACAACAAAACAATCTAAACTGATAAATAGCACTACAGGTAAAAGGAAAAATATGTACTATTGATTTATCCTTTTAACTTAATGAAACATAAACCAGAAAGCCTCTCCAACCAGCAACATCTCTTTAATGACAAAGATCAACTGTGTGTGTACACGCTGGCCGAAAGCCTCAACCTGAGAGCCATGTCAGCAATTTGGGTCAGGGATTTAAAAAGCAACAGTGAGAGTAGGACAGAGGAGCTTATTATATGGAGACTGTGTGCCATTGAACAGCTGGTATGTTATTGATATCATATGTATGCAGACAGGCTCTGAACGGGTTTAGTTTCACATGTCAGTGACTTAGTTTGAGCTAGGCCGCAGACTGGATCCTTGAAATAATGCCAGAAAATCAAAAGAAGATTTGCATCAGGTAATAAAATGACAAATCAATAAATCACATTTTTTCAGTGAATACATTCAAAAGTATACTTTACACAAGCTTTACAAAATGAGTTTGTTGTTTCCAGAATAAAATGTGAGCTCATTCTGAATCAGTACCTTTTCCTATATGAACATTATAATGATATGACACTAAATGAATACATGTTCATCAAACACCTGTGTCACCTCGCAAACCAAACACACAAAACTGACCCACTCATACTGAACTCAAAACAATACGTCCTCTACTGTGTGTAGTTCATCATACAACCTATTTAAAAGACATTTCCTCTAATCAATTAATTAACAAGTTCATTAATTTAATGAACTAATAAATTTGAAAACATCACAGAAGTAAAAAAACAAACAAAAAAAGTGTTGTTGTGTAAAGAAAAACTATCGAACTTCATCAATAAAGCAATCTCTCTAAGACATCAAAGTTCAACGCTGTCGACAAACATCATCATTTTCAAGTGTCTGTTAAATTTGTCACAGTTTACCCAAAACTCGTGAAATAAAGTGTCACACTTTCATTCAGAGACCATCTCTGGTCTTTAGAATAAATATATATCTCTCAAATGTTCAACATGAGATGTAGCAAAAACTCCTATACAACAACAGTGGCTCCCTCCAGAGTCAAACCCATCTGTCTCCTCTGTCATCTTCCACCTGCAGCCCAAAACTTTCTGATTCATCTTTGACAAACCAAACTCTGCAAGACGAGGTCCAACGTGAGCAAAGCAAATCAAATCAACTAAACCCTCACCAGTTCAATAAAAATGAAATCCCCATAGTCCAAAGATTCTCCTCCTATTATGACTTGCCCTTCATTGTTGGCCCAAATGTTTTCTTCTTGGGTGCAGCAGAGGGTTGGGGTTTGGGTTTGGGAGCAGATGCAGGCTTTTTAGGTTTGGGCTGCAGGGACTTGAGGCCCAGGATCTCACAGTATTTGTTGCACTGGTGCAGAGCTTTGAACTGGTCAATGAAGGAGGTGGCACAGTTTCCTTTGAAGCCCTTATATCTAAAAAGAAATAAAATAACTTGTCACTTTGCATGTATTAACAATTTGCATCTGTTATTGGTGTAAAAAAAAAAAAAAATACTCACCCTTTCTTACAGGTGGCTATTCCCACATCAGTGAGCCTCATTCCCACCCCTGAAAATCACAAAATCAGACTGATTTAAGCGCTCTGAATGAAATCATTTGCAGATACAAACATTATAAACTTGTATATTTGCACATTTTTCCAACCTTGCATATCAGTAACCAGCAGGTTGCCATCAGTCTTATCATACACCCAGTGCTGGAAAGCACAACATTTCTGCCCTGCCTCCGAGTCCCGTCTCATCAGGTTGATCTCTTTGCCGTCCTTGACTGAATACTTGACAAAGTCGCCGATCAGCTCCTCCTCCAGGGTGGCGTATGGGATGTCATTGGATGGACGGTGAACCAGGTAGATGGGAATGATCCTGGTGGAAGTGTGAAACAAAATGACATGAGCTGTGTGTGTTTCAGACTATTCTGAAATAATTAAAACAGAGAGTTATGTTGTATATTATGTTTACAGGTTGTCATGTGTGTCACTCACTCTGGGATCTCTCCGAAGGATTCAACAGCCTGAGCTGCAGTGGTGTACGCCTTGATGTACTCTCTCGCTGTGTTCTGGACCTGGCACTCCTACAGAGCAAACAAAATTAACAGAGGACATCTCATAAGATCTTTGATGAAATATTGTGTTTATTCTGTTTTTGTAAAAGAATAAAACTCAAAACTGGATGATTAACATATCAAAATAAAACCAGATGGCCCCAAGTGTCACATTTTGCATGTTATGTAGGCTATGTTTAGTGGCTCTCCCCCTACAAAATGCATTTTTGAGTCATTTCAATCAGAATTCTATGACATTGCGTCAAAAATTTGATTCAGAAACATTTCCATAAAATTCTCTGCACAAAAAATGCTTATTAAAGGTCTAGTGTGTAGGATTTAGTGGCATCTAACGGTGAGGTGACAGGACTGAAACTTCTCCCACGTGCCAAGCAATGGTTGTATATGACAAAATGGACATCATGTTGCCACTTCCTCCTGCTGTACAAAAATGAAGCCCAAGTATCCCTGATACGGCTGCTGCCATTTTACATTGGTGACATCAGTTACAACACAGTACCGATCTCCGTGTTCCCATCTATACACCTGTCCAACCAATTGCAAGCAGCACCATTGATAGTGAGCGCACAGATTGGCACACACAACTGTCAACCATAATGTCAAACCCCCTTTTAATAGCATCAAATAACTAATTAAAATCAAACTTATCAGAAAAATGAAAGCTTGAACATACATCAGTGTGATAAAATGACCATAAATGACAGAAATCATCTTTGGGAAAAATGTATCTGAGGTGTACTTTGATGTTTTTAGTTTGGCCCATGTCCCATCTGCGAAAATGGAGAGGGTGGGGATTATGACAAATACTGCAGCCAGCCACCAGGGGGCGATGGAGGTGTTTTGGCTTCACTTTTGGGGAGCTTTCATGTCGTCCATCTTTATAAACAGACTGTGGTGCCAACTGTGTAAGAGAACTCCAGTGGCTGACAGGAAAACATGTATGGCCATATTTAGAGCCAGTGTTTGATTTATCTGCTCTGGGCTACTGAATAACAACATGGGGGACTCCCCAGAGGAAGTCCTGTGATGTTCTTACCTCTACAGCCAAGGTAAAGTTCTTCTGAACAAGCTCATCGTTGTTCTTGGTCCCGTAGCTGATAGAATTGTGTACTTTGAGCACACAGGGGTATCCAGGCAGTAACAGAGGGATCTGACCCGCCCGCATCTTGGTCCGAAAAGCCCGCCGGTGCATCCCCTCCCCGAAGTGAACCTTTTCAGTGACGATGCTGACAGGTTGGTTCTCTCCAAAGCATTGGTCTGTTAAGAAATCCTCTTTGAAAATCAGCCTGGAGCAGTGGACATCCTCCTCCTCACTCTCCATCTCCACCGGGGCAGCTAGAAAGACAATGTGTCATCTGTTATCTGTCAAAATCCAAAACAAAACTGAGCCGAGCTTTTAAAGCTCAGAAAGTAACAAAGATCACAACTTACATATGACAGTTTTCGGAGTTGGAGGGATGACAATCTCACTGAGCACTGTAAAATAGTCAAAAAGAAGAAATGTGTTGGATATACATTTTTAACGACATTTATGTTTTAGATGTTGTCATTAAATCATGTTTTTTTTACCTTCATATGTGAGCACGTAGTCCAGGGTGACTGATCCATTCAGACTGGTGAGCTGACACTGGTACTTGCCCAAGTCTTTGTGGGAAGCATTGGAGATGGTCAGTGACACTCTGCTCTCGTCCCCTGCGCTTCAGAGAGAGGTACCAGGGTCACAAAATGCACCACACAAAGCCACTAATCTCTACACAACAACCTACTGGCACTATATCTGGCAACAATCTTTTTCAATAGGTTATATACATTATGGCAATCCAGGATCCTTTCTATGCCAAATATATGAATTGTGTTGAATTTGACTGTGTTGATTGCTCATCTTGACGAATGTCAATCGACTAGAGTATTATGCAAGCAAAGGTAGCTGTAGACAGGTATAGGCTATATAGAAGGTGCAGGTTACACAATCGCTGCTGGGCAAAAAAAATGTAGATTTAACGTGAAAATAGTCTCCTTTTTTTTTGCTTTAACTTATCGTTATGAAGTAATTCTTGATTGTCCCCAGTAGTGGAAATGGCAAAACAACCAAAGTAACTGGGAAAGACAAATTGCAGTGTGTCCTGCGTTGTTGTTAGTTACTTGGCACAGAGGACAATGGAAAATGTTCCAATGGTCTTTGTAACAGCCGCGCCAACAATAACAACATTTTGAAACACTGGGGTGGAGTTGAAAAGTTTCCACTTTAAAGGAAACAGAATTTAAACCCATAGGTCTGCTTTATCCCTGCAGGCAAAGTATTGCAAAGCACATTTTCCTCTTACAGAGCTAATGGTGTTAATGTGGGGGGGGAAACCAGAGTGTGGGTCGGGATGACATTATCAACAGTTATCTCAGTCTGAGTGCAGTGTGCTAGCCAGTGGGATACAAACATGGACTCACATACACACACTGCCAGATTCTACCCCACACAACAACAAGAGAAGCTTTGGTTACAGCACACACACAGGTAGCATGGCTTCATTCTCTCCTCAGGATGCCATTACTCATCTTTATCTTCACATGTTTTTCTTTTATATTAATGCTCTGAATGTTATAAACATTGTGTAAAGATGAGGGTTAAGTAAAAAAATACATTGTAAAACTCCTGTAAAGTGAGTCTAAATACCTTCTCTTGATCTCAGACAGGACAGCGCCATCTCTGCGCCAGGTGACTGTGTGGTTGGAGAAGACAGCCGCGAACTGACACCACAGGCACAGACTCTGGGGGTCCCCGCTCACTGACACTGCCTGGATAGGTTTTACCACCTTGGGCTCTGCAGACATAGTCATATGCTTTTATTATGAGGTGTTTACACACCATCATGCAGGAGAATAGCAGGAATTATGAATGTGTCACAGAGTGCTTTGCAGAGAAATTGTTTAATGTTATATCTCTTACCTTCCTTGGGTGGGATTGTCTGTTTGACCACTTCACTGTACGGCTTCTTACGAGTTGCCCCTGTATCTGCCTTGGGCTCCTCTCCCTTTGCCTGGATAGAAACATCTGGCTTTGGTAATTTAGACTCCAAAGCACTGACAATCTTTCCAAACTTATCCTCTGATAGGCGACGTCTTTTGATGATATCATCTTTTAGAGGACTGGTGAACTTTTTTGGCTGTTGGTCTTTATGATCTGAATGATGCAGGGGTTGTTCTCCCTGCAAAGATTTATTCTCTGGTTGCTGGGACTTTTTATCATCTGACTTAATACTGTCCTTTTGAGCTTTCCCAGCTTTAACGCCCAGCTTGGCCTCAAACATATCAATCCTTCCTTTTGCATTCTTTGGTTTTGCTCCATTTTCTACTTCGACCAGTGGCTCAGCTACACTTTTCACCGCTGTTGCATTTGGAGCATGCTTCTTTTTCTTCTTGCCGTGTGGCTTGTTTGGAGCCTTCTCAGTTGCTGCGCTGGTCTCAATTACCAGTTTAGCCTCCTTGTCCTCAAATGCAACTGGAGTGTTCTCACTGGTGTGAATTTCCTCGATAAGAGGATGAGTTTCTTGCTGTTTGCAGACCTGCTGGGCCGAGACATGGGGAGATAGATTCTCCTGTTTCTTGGAAACTTGTGCACCATAGTGATGACCAGTTGATTTGTCCTTTTTGGAGCGTGCCTTGCTCTCTGAGCTGGACTTGTGGGTTTTGTGTGGCATATTTTCAGCTGTTTTCTGATTCAACTCAGGCTGTATGGCTATGGAGATGGGTTTTGCAACCCTGGAAACAAATGGGTCATTTAATTCTAAAGTGATGACTGCAACACGGCTCTCCTCTGAGACGACGAAATGATCTGCAGGGAAATCAGCCAAGTTTGATAGTTCTCTACTGAGGTCATGAATCTCCTTGAGTATTGTTTTTCTTGCAGTAACCAAGCCCGGTTGTTTCTCTGGTGAAGATTTCTCAGCAGAGTCTATTGTATTTTCCTTTTTTTGAATCACTTCATCACCTTCCAAAGATGTTTCCTCAGTAATCCCATCCGAAGTTGGCGAGAGAGCGCAGGGTTGTGTGTGATCACAACTGTTGTCATTGAGAGGCCTTTTGGCACAAGTTTGCTCTCCTTCCAAACTGCAGCTTGTCCGACAGACTAGGGAGGAGCTGATACTGAGAGGAGCTAAGGGCATAATAAACTTGGGACTCTCCCACTGTGGCTCCACCTGACATGCTCCGTCAAGGTCTGGTAAAGTGTCAGACGACACGTGTGTGTGGACATTGAAGTTCGGGACAGGTTGTGTGGGCACACCTGGCACGTGTGAGCTTGTCACAGCATGTGCGATGAAGAAATTAAGATCTGTTGATGGTTCGGTTCCTTTACAATCGACCTCGGCTGGCCTCGTGCTCCTTTTGGCTTCCTGCTCGGCAACAGAGCTCGGCTGATGGACACTGTGTTCACCTGTCACTTCACACACTTCATCTCCAAAGGGCTGATGATAAAAATAGACAAATAATGAGACAAATGTCAGGTAATTATAGACTTAAATATATTTAATAGATCATGATACATTTGAGTAAGACTGACAGACTCCACTGATAGTATAGAATAATCCTGGCATCAGTATAGCTAAACAGGTAATTATTTTAAAGGCAGATAATGCACTTAGTGGGTTACAAAAACATGCTGTAACATTTAGATGCATTCAACACATACCTTTCTATAGAGCCACAGAGCAGACGTATATGAAATGCCATGGCTCTATATCTGATCCCACAGTCCATACGTCCTGCACGCAACTGAAACCTACACTGTCGCTGTTATAGACAGCAGCTCCAGCTATGCCTTGCGCACCTAAGCCAATCAAAAGCAGTCTCTCAGGTCCATGGACCTGTTGGTGCTCTGATCTTGGCTTTTTAAAGGAGATGCAGTGGGAATGGGTGTGTTAAAGGGTGCGTACATAAAGAGAGAGGGAGAGAGAGAGAGAGTAAGGGAGGGTCGTGTTTCAGTGCTCAGCTGTGCTCTCCTCTCACCTCCCACCCTGACACGCCACGGATGCATGCTATTATCATTGAACTCTCAGCTATTATTAGATGCCATTTCTGTCCATCTGAAGTTTTCCTCTCATGCACTCCCTGTTTCCTTCAGCACACACAGCTGTCAGTCTTTGAGATGGGAGCCAAAGGACTTATCCATTAATACAGAATCAAGCCCTGGGTGAGAGTCCTTCATGGGTGCAAAATGAGTGGCTCCGATCCAAAGCAAGGCGACAATACTCGTGAGTCTCATACGTGAATTTCGCTCTCCGCTATGTACCTTCTCCTGACAGGCTATCAATACTGTAAGGACAACGCTGACAAGGACAGTAGCGGGAATATCTGTTAACGTTCTGGCCATGTTGCCACATTGCATGACTGTTTTACGTGTTGGCCAGTGCGACTGATGTGAAGGTGATCGCTGTTGTTCTCTCCGTTACAAAGGGTGAATATTTCCACTGCTCTCTCCGTCACATACCTCAGAGAAAGTGATGTGTGTTTGAGCGTGTGTGAACGTGTGTGTGTGTCTGTATGTGTGGGTCCACGATGCATGTAAATAAATACACAGTCCCAAGGTTTAATTCTAGAACATGCACTCATTCTTCATGCTTCTCACATAAAGCAGACACATGACAAACTTTTCTGAATTATCAACCTCTATAGTAAGTCACCTTACCTTCTCGATTATCAGCCCTCCAGGTGTATTTTGTCCCTCCAAATCTGTATCCTCTGTTATCTTCAGTATGATTGTATCTTCCTTAGTGCTAATGGAAATGTTTGACTCGTCAAATCCACCAAAGAGAGAAAGGTCAAGCTCAGCAGAGGATGCACACCCAGAGATCACATCCACACTCCAGGACGGGGCCACCGTAGCACCGGATGACCCCGTGGATGAGTGCTGGTGTGTTAGGCATGGAGAGCACTCAGCCTGGCCGCTCAAGGATTCGACGCTCTGGGAGCCCTCTGTGTCTCTGAGCTCATGTCCTGCAGCTTCAAGGCACAAAGTAAGGCAGCTCTGCCCAGAGAGGACGGAGCCCTCTGGGATGTTTTGCGTCTCTAGAGGCCGATCCTGGACACCCATGGGTGGCTGCAGTTGTGCCTGCACTGTTGTCTCTCGACCCTTTATCTCTTTAGACGTCTCTGGTTCTATACGAGTATTTACCTCTGCTAGTGCCTGTGTCAGAGCATCTATTTCAGCCCCGATCTCTGTGAAGGCAGCTGTGAAGTCCTCCGGTGGAGCTGTGATGATCCCAGTCCAGTCGGACAGTGCACTTGCCCAGCTGTCCACTGATGACCACCTCTCAACTGGTGGCCCCCAACCTCTGGTGTCATCGCTGGACCAGCCAATCCCCTCGCTACTCTCAAAGCTGTAACCTGATAGTTGTGTCTGTCTTGGGATAAAAGACAAGTCACCGGTGAGCCCCTCTTGCATCACAGAATGTCCTGTCAAGTCTTTGGCATCCTCACCTCCCAGATACTGGCATGCGTCCACCCACAGCTCGACAGGGCTCTCGCTTCTCTGTGGTCGGGGGGTTGAATCAGCAACCTCTGCTTTGCCTTGCCTCCCATCATTTACCGACATTAAGCCTGCCTCACAGGCATCCACAGCAGGTGGCCTCGGATGCTGACCCGCATCTGACTCATTGTCCACCATAGTTTGTTCGTCAATAGAGCTGTGAGGACATAGTGTCACCACATTGTCTGAATCATACAGCGGGACATGTGCATCGCAGTCAGGTTTTTTTTCCTGTGTTTGTGATAATGGCTGGTATTCAGGACATTGACCTTCCTGGGGATCTACACTAGAGCTCAGGATGAAGTCCTGCGTGTCATTTTCAAAGATATAAAGGTCTGACAGAGGTGCCATTACTGTATCACTCTCTAAACTATCTGACTGATGTGGGAACGACCTTAATAGAGAATAGGCTCGACTGTGGTCAGAGCTGGAGAGCTCAGTGACAGATGACTCCGTCGAACCCTCAGAAGTAGATGACATCGCCCCACATGGTTGAGGTGCACTATTTTCTTGTGGGTCTTGTTTAATGTGAAACTCTGAAAAAGATTCAGATAGAGGCGAAATAAGGTCATGAGAGAAGTGAGGTAAAAGAGGTAATGCAGGTTCTGATGAGCCAAAATAGCTACAAACCCTGAAAGCATCATCCTCTGGCACAGGCTCGGAGCAAAGTGACAAACACTCTGAGATATTATAGCTGGATGATAAAGGCTTCAAACTGTCTGAGATGGCGCTTTTCTCCTGAGAGGGGCATTTGGAAACATTTGATAAAGGCTCAGTGGATTTATCTTTAAGGTCTGATGGCTCTGACACAGCCTCTGCTACTGTCTGGTATACAGACAGCTTGTTTTCTGTGGGATTGTGCAAAAAAGAAAGAGGGTCTAAATCCTTAGTCTGTGTGTCTGTGGGAGCTGGTGGTGACCATGTTTGGTCATCCGTGCAAGGGAGCGACGGATCCATTGGGACTTGTAGTTGTGCTGCTCGAGGAGATTGTCAGCAGCAAGATTCCAGCTGTCAAACAGCAACTTCGGGCCAAGTTTTGTGACAAACAGCAAAAAGTTCTGCATATAGACTGTTGGTGCCTGGCTTTTCTGGTGTCATTTCCTCCCCTGAGTCCAACGGTATACTTAGATCCTTTGATTCGGTACCTGCAAAGTAAAATCAGGCAGTCAAATAATCCGATGTTCACGTGTATATTTACCTCCTCAATCTGAAATATTTAAGATCTCTTTCTGGCTGTTTATCCTACTCGCAGGAGATGCCCCTTCAACTGGCATGTTGCATCTATTTTAGAAGCTTTTAAAGGACACTTGACATACCTTATCAACAGGAAACCTGCCTGTTGTCGTAGCTGATAAAACTGTGTGGTGTGAGGCGGTTGTGTTTTTGCCAGATGCACACTACACTCGGATTTCTACTCTCTTGCACAACTGAAAAAAATATGCCTGATCTATATTATCAATATATTATAATATACACTGGTATGTGGGATTTTGACATCAGACAGTGTGGGATTCATCAAAAAATGTAAATGATCTTTTACACAATCCTGATCAGTCATTACTAGATATTTACCGATATAGAAAACACATCAATATTGAGTTGACAAGCCTATTGAGCTGCTAGTAGTTACATATTGAGAGAATTGTTAAGAATCTCTGGTGCTACTTATTAGTTCAAAGGTCCAACTTTGCAGTACACGGTATGGTAAGGAAGGTAACAGTCTCAGTTTATCGGCTGCAAATCTATGAATGTTTCCACTTGTCTTTTATTTGTACTAAATTGAAAATAATGAAAAATATACAAATACAAAAAATATGTTAAGAATACACTCAGATTTAATACCACTTTCTTCTGCTTTTCAGATTCTTCTGATTATTTTTTTCTAAAGCAATTACAGTGATACACACATTCAGCACAAAATCTGCAGCTTTAATTAAAGCTGATATCTGATATTTCTGAAACCACAGTCTGTGGAGGTGTCTGTGGTATTGTGTCCTCAACACTAATGACACTCCAGACTTCATAATTTGGTAAAACACATTTAGAATAAGGTGTTTTTCCATAATTTTTAAGTAATTATATTGTTAAATTGGAGGAGTTATGCAGAGAGAGCAGAGTGCCATCTAGTTCCATTATATTGGAGAGAGGGCAGACATTTCTATGGCCGATATCTCCAACACTCCACAACTCATACCAAAACAATCTAGATTAACAAACATCACTACAGGTAAGAGGAAAAATATGTATATTTGTTTTTGTCGTGAACTGTCCCTTTAAAGGTCCCCGTGTACCAAGCATGAAGGATAACAATGGTGACTGATGGTGGAAAACGTGAATGGCCCTATTTAGAGCCAGTGTTTGGTTTTTCCGTTCAGGGCTACTGTAGAAACAACACGGTGGACTTCACTGAAGACAACCTGCTCCATATGAAGATACCAGCTGATAGTAAGGTAACAAAAACACAGCCATTCTTAGTTTTAGGTGATTATACACTAATGAAGACATAGTCATGAATAATATACCCCCCTAAATCCACCACACTGAAGCTTTAACATGTGTTTCCTCTTATTCTCCTTTTAGATTGCTGCTGCCATTACTGTGTCTTAAAATCACAACGTGTCGCAGTGGTGTGGTGGTGTTGTTGCCTGTAGTGCTGCCCACTACAGGGCACCTGACATACATGCATAGGCCTAATATGAAGTGTTGAAGGGGGAGGTTTCAAACCATGCACCCTGATATACAAGATTGCAGGAGGGGAACTGGTGGCACAGACACTGGAAAAATACCAGCACATCTTCACCCATGACCTGCATTTGTGACATTCCTGCTGCAGTGAAGGACACCTAGGAGAGAGCTCGGGCCTGACATGTTTCCTGTGTTTACAGATGCTATGTTTAGTAAGTCTGTTGACAAACACCTTGAATATATGAAGAAAATTCAGTTTTTTGAAGCTGCAAAACATATTAAAATCCTGACAAAATGAGGTGAAATATTGTTTCCCCATTAATTAATCCAATTTGTTTGCTACACCACAGTCACATGCAGCACACTGGCTCTATATTTAGATTTGATTACGGCCTGCATATTAATAGTCCATACACCTGAGTTGTAATCTACTTTTAGAGTCACACTGAAGGGTTTAAACGAATCAGAAATCAGTGTTGTTGGTATTGTTGATTAGTACATTAGATGCGACTTGATCTCTCCTGACATTAAAAAACAATAAAGCTGTCAGCACCTGCGTGACTGAAAGCAAGAAAGTGTAACTGGATTTCATATTGAATGTCTGTGCCAAAATAGATCCATCCTCGGTCACATTACCCCCCCATCAAGAGCCTGCTGCGTCTTTAAAGCGTCTGTATGTGGAGGACTTGTTTGACAGATGTATGCTCAAGTAGATCAGGAACACAGTTTTAAAAAACAATTAAACAAGCTGCCTCAAAATGTAAGACTTTCTCAACACTGACAGCTACGCATGAACGGAAAACTAGACAAATATTTACCAAAATTCATTACACTTACAAATCAATTTGAGGAATTACTTCCGATTCTTGAAAAAGTGTGTTATGTGTATCATGCAGCACAACACAGTGTGTGTCCACCTATCAGCAGTCCAATACAAAGCAGTGTACTGACAACATCTACCATTCCCAAAGAAAACCGTAAACAACGTCAACAAACGTCAACGTCACAGCTGAATCACCACCCATGATCAAAGTATCATTACTTGAGGCATTAAAGCAGTTGTCTCACCCTGCGAGGAGGATTTTCGTCATGCATGCAGTACGTACCCTTGTCATAGCCGTGTGGTTGAGGATATAGACATATGATGTGGGACTTCAGTATGAGCTCAGGGCTAGAGCCGGCGGTCTTGGGGTGTGAGTCTATTTTTAAATGTTGTCCCCCCGCAAGTACAAAGTCAGTTACCTGATATTGCAGACATGTGCTGTTCTTGAACATTTAACACTCAATATCTATATTTACAGGCTGTTTCAGCGATGGGCTACTCTACAGATGAAGATGTTGACTTGTTGGTGTTACAGACATTTAATTATGGGACGTTTTTTAATCTGGCCAGAGAGAGAAATAATGAGAAACTTTAAAAAGGGGCCTATCAGGATCATTTTTAGGTTAGGGTTAATATTTGCAGTTTTACTAGAACATGTTTACATGTTTCAATGTTCAAAAACACTTAATTTTCCTCATACTTTATGTGCTGGATTATCTGTATTCACCCTCTGTCTGAGACGCTCCATTTTACTGCCTCTCTCTTTAAGCCCCCCTCCCTAAAAAGCCCAGTCTGCTCTGATTGGTCAGCGTTTCCGGGTGTATCTTACCCCAGCATCTCTGCAGGTGAGGAATGACTGTAACAAAGGATAGTGGAACTTTATACTGTTGAAAAATCAGCAGTAAAAGCTTCTAAACCAAAATCCTTACGACCTGACATGTTCCAGCAGGAATATGATCCAAAAAATGGGGAAAAAATTACAACACCTGTAAACAAGATTTCAAGTTTCTTTGATGTTAGCATGTAGCTACATGTAGCAGTGTGCCTGGATATGTCACAAGCTGAAGACATCTTGTTGCAAAAGTAGAAAAGAAACATTGGAAACAGTATTCAGCTTTGTCTGAAGCCTGAGGTTATTGCTTATAAGAATTACGTGACATATGTTTACTTCATTATTTGAAACTTTGACCATGTTAAATATAAACTTCAGACACTGTAATACTATATATGTCACAGAAAATAAGGAAAAGTATAACAGGTCCCCTTTAAACAAGCCCCCCCAAGCACACATTGGAGTTATAATTAACTTTAGATAGTGATTTAGTATGCAATAGTGATTTAGACTCTTGTCTGTACAGCTCAGAAAAGAAAAATGAAAATAGAAGCAAACAGTGAATATTTCATTAAACACAATTCTGTTTCTCTTGTAAAAGTTTTTATTTCTCCATAGAAGTAATCTAAGCAAACACTCTAACAACTAATTTTCTGAAGGTTACTGTAACCTTGTTGAAACAAAGTCCTTACATTACACTTTGTGTGAGAAACACTAAGCAGACAGAGCTCTTATTCACCTACTTCTATTAGGTGCAAAGAAGCAAATAAACAAAAAAGACATGCAAAGGTTGCAGCTCGGAGTTCAGCCTGCATGATTAAAACAGATACAACAAAATATGTTTTATCTGTTTTCCATTGAAACAATATATGACAAAGTAAAATCTGATATGAACACGTGTTGACAGAGCACCCGTGACATCGAGGGTCACATTTCTGGCAACATTAACGCCCCTCTAACTATTCTGGCAGAGCAACAATGCACTATTGTCAGTGACCAAAACAATCTAACGAGGACAGACAGACCTTTCTTGGCTTTTATGTAAAATTATGAGTGGTCAATTATCTCACCCTGCCATGACAGTGATTAAATGTGACTCTGCCTCTCATTAGCCAAATTACTCATCTCATAAGCAGTGAACACAAGCTAATCCCTAATGACACAGATGGCAGGTCAGTTTCCAATAATTTAGATGGTCCAATGATTCTGATTTAGTTAGCAAGTAGTAATTATAATCTGTTGTCTGTACTTTAAAGGCATGAAATAATTATGCTTTTAGCTGCCCAGCTCCCAGAGTCCATAGATACTTTATAAGAAAAAGGGTGTAGTTTCAGTGGAGACATGATGGTGCTTTTATTCTTATGGGAATTTAAAGTAACAGATGTTTTGGAAATAGTCTTATTTACCTTCTTGCTGAGAGTTAAAGGCCCAGTGTGTAAAATGGGTTGAAAACCGTTGGAAACAGTGACATCAGTGGTCAAATTCTAGATTGCAGGGATCACTCGCTCACCCTTCCCGTCGGGTAAATGATGGTGGCCTCGTAGGGACAAAAAGCCTTGCGCACGAGTTTCTCAGGAGTAGGTCTATCTAGCGACGAGGTGAATGTTTATTTAGAAATCTAAACCATGTTACGATATTGTAATGAATCCCTCACGAGCAGGAGACCAGAGGAGCGTTCGGGAAAAAGGCCCGTTTATTTGAGCACTCCAGAAACTCCAGTAACACTCCACTCCGTCCCAAACTCTGATTCTTCTACATTAAAAAACACTTTTTAACTTTACACACATACTCGTTTACGATACTGAGTGGGGACCCCCCTCCCCTCTCTGCTCCGCCAACCTCCAGCCCGCACACTGACTAACAGCGTAGCCGGTAAACAGAGCTCAGCTGTTTATTTAGCCTAGCAATATCTCCGGACTATAGCAGCTGCAATGGACGACTTTGAACGCAATTTTGAAGAGTTTCTTGTAGCGGACACAGACCCAGAGCCATACCTGTTTGAGCCGGAGCATACAGATGAGGAACTCCATGTGTTTGATGCTGAGCGGGCGAGAAGAGAGGGTGAATGCACAGAATGGGATTCGGTGCTACTGCTACCATCGTTGGGGAGATATATCACCAGGAGGGAAAGTGCAGCAGAGAGTGCATCACAAGGAGTGAAGTTGCGTCATCTTTTCCTCGCAGATGACGGTTCGGGTTCATTCTCTCCTGTTGCGTGGTAAGTGTGGTCCATTCGCAAACTTTATAACTAAAAAAACTTTTCACTACTCTATCGACGAACTACTAACACTCTGCTGTTTCCTCCTCCTTCTTCCTTCCTTCCGCTGTCTTCGTTGGTTCATTTATACACGCAAAACACGTTCTCTGGCTGGCTGGATTGTCCACTTGGTCTGCCGTACATACATGGTGGCGCAAGATGGCGACCTCTCTAAAGCAAGGCCCTTGAGATATATATATATATATATATATACATAATTATAAGGCTACGAAAACCAAACGAATTTTATTTTATAGCGATCATACACTTGTATAAACATATTAATGGGTAAAATATTCAGATTCAGATTCAGATTGACAATAAACCATGCCAAATATTACACACTGGCCCTTTAAATACCAGTCTCACATCTGTATGCTATGTGGGTACAGCCAAAGGTTGGTTAGCATAGCTTGGACTGGAAACAGGGAAACAGCTAGGCTGGCTCTATCTAAAAGTGTTAAAAATGGCTACTACAAGACTGCAATAATTCGATATAACATGTTAATCCATGAGCTTTAAAGGCACTGATAGTTTTTTCCCCCTTTTTTCCCATTGCACAGAGCTAGGCTAGCAGTTTTCACCTGTTTTCAGTCTTTATGCTAGGCTAAGCTAACCAGGTGCTCGCTGCAGCCCCATATTGAACAGATATAAAAGCAGTATTAACTTTCTCATTCAACTCTTGGCAGGAAAGCAAATGTTCAAATATTTATTCATGTTTTGAGCACCACTTGACCCTAAACTTTGAAAAAGGTATCAGTCTGTTCAGGTGTCTACAAAGTTTGGTATATACTACAGCTTTCACATGAGACACCATTTTACAACCTTAAGTGGCTTCTTGTCACATTCCTTTTTTTAAACTGAACCACTCATGTTGGTGGCATTTAATCAAACGTTTGCATATAACTTCACTTGAGGAGTCAGTTTATTTTTTTGAGTGAATTTCCTCAAAACCACAACATTTTCTCACTCCTTGTTACCTCATCCCTTAATCTCATCCAGCTGCTTGACAACCTTTAGTCCTGTATTCCTGCTACAAAGCCCCTACACATTACTGCCCTTGACTTCATGCCAAGCAGTTCTCTTCCTCATTTTGTTTGGGCCTTCTTTCTTATTTATTCTATTTAAAGAAAAAGGGTATTTTTGGCATGGACCAATTTTCTCATGTTTTTGTGTCTAAGTGGCTTATGAGAGCAACAATTTTTGAAACTGGTCCAGTATGGAGTGAGATTGCTGTTGCTGGCATTCACAATATTGGCTACAATGTCACCGCTCAGGGCATTTGTGCAAAAAGCCCTTGCTTTTGCTACTGACAGGCTCAGATTATTACTCTTAGTGTGTGACAACATTATGGAAAGGATCCCGATGAGCTAGACATTTTTGTTAAATAGTAATATCCTTTTTGTTTAATCAAAAACAGCCCTAAAATCACTATCGCCAAACCCAGCAGACTCAAATTAAGTAAACTGTGATTTTAGGGTGTACAGAACCTGCAGTGTGTATTGTGATGACAAAAAATACTGTTTATTCAAATGCAGTCATGTGAGTTTGGCAATTGTGATCTGCAGGCTGTTTCTGGTTAAACAAAAAGGATCTTACTCTTAAACACAAAGGCCTGTCTCTGTAGGGATCCTTTCCATAATGTTGTCAGACACTTAAAATAACAGTCTGAGCCTGTCAGTGGCAAAAACAAGCACTTTAGTGAATGTACATTGCTGGTGCATATTGCCCTAAGTGGATTCATTGTAGCCTGGTTCGCTGCTGCCAGCTGCAGTTATCTTTGTCAATGCTGAACCAATTACAAAAACAGAAATGTAGGAAAATAGAGTCCAGGTTGAACAATGTCAAAGTTTCCCTTTAAGTTCCCCCAAAACCAGGCAGTCACCACGTCCAGGTGCCTCCAGGTTCTTATGGTCACAGCAATGCAGTTTTGTGTATCACCCGTCCCTTTCCTCTGGCCCGCTTTCAAATGCAGAGATTTTCTACTTCATACTACCAAACTGTGTGTATATTATCTGTATATCTTTTAGAAAACTGCTAACTAAATGTTGTTTCGTAATGACAGTGAAGGACCGTTTTATAACCAAGAGTAGTTTATGGCTGTTACATCATTGCTCCTGCGACAGGTGGGGAGGGGAGCAGATTCTTTAACTGCAATAAAATCACCACATTGTAAATAACTGTTTAACAATAGAGAGCCTCCAAGAAAACAGCAACGTCTCAAGCCTGATTTTTTAAAAATGAATGAAGAAAACAGACTCTTTTAAGTTACAATATCTCACTGACACACCTACAGCTTTGGCAAAGCAATGTATGAAGTCACTATTGTTAGTGTGTGTGTGTGTGTGTGTGTGTGTGTGTGTGTGTGTGTAGAGAGAAATCAGTCATGAGTTTTATGAATGAATACTCCCGCCACACACACACACTCTCACACTCTCTCACACACACACACACACACACTACAGAGGGTTTCATTTATCATTACAAGCACAATAAACAGAAGAGGATGAGGACACAAAACCATTAAAATGATGTCATGTCCTTTTGCTCTTTTCGTGCCGTTATGTAACACTTGTGTCTGTGCAGCTGTTCTTGTGGCTGGTGCCTTGTAAATCTACTAAGCAACAGAGGGAGTATTATTGGATTAATGGGGCATGTTGTACATGTGTGTGGGAGCTGTTGTGTAATAATTTGTATTCAGTCCTACTGTCTTTTATTTTTTTGAAATAAACATTTCAGGACTGTTTTATTTTGATGAAATTATTTTAGAAGTAGAACAAAGGAGAGCAATGTGGTTAAACCGTTTAAATGAAGATTTTCTAATGTGTCACAACATCTGACAGACCATTAAATCAATCGAGTCACCAAATAGCACTTGGACAGGACTTCAATAAGGCAGGACTTGTTATGATGTAGCTATTAAAGGATATGTGTGTGTGCATGTTTGTGTGGCTTCTCAGAACAAACACATTTACGGTCTCTGCAGGACACAGCTGATGGGCTGAGATGGCAGGTGGACTGTTGGGCAGCAAGTAATCAGTTCAGAGATTCACTGAATTAAGCTGAACTTTAACCACTTTAAGAAGGCCTTCAGATAAATGTATAATTACACAACATAAAACTGGAAGCAGCACTCATAACAGCCATGCTCAGTATTTCTTATTTTCAAAAGTTTTTCTTCCTCCAAAAACCAGTGTCATTACAAGTCTGAAGCAGTCTCAGCCATGTTACACCATCTTGAGCATGTTGTTGTGGGGTTTTGGATTGGACGTGGCCCCTGGTGGACTCTTGTAGTCATGGTGAGAGGAGTGTCATCTTACCAAAGCAAGATATATTTTTACACCATGTTGTTGCACAGTCTGCCTCGGCCCTCACGGCTGCCCTCTTTCACCCAAACTCCCAGGAGCAGGACCAGGTGGAGAATGGTGCCGCACATGTAAGAAGTGTGCGTCACAACCACATTCTGTTTGTCTGGAAGCGTGAGAGAGTCGGCTAAAGCATGCTTTACTGGATCCATCTAAGGCAAGAGCGCCATAGCAGGTGAATGATAGATATGGGACACATCCTCACTATGCCAAAATGTTGTGACAAAAGTAGCAAACCATATTTGGCTTTTATCTTGCGAGACTGATCACATAGTTATCTTGTCTGAACCAACATGATTTAATTAGGACATGCTGACACTGGAAATTATAGCAACATTCCTTATTCCTTCCATATTGTTTTCTTTTTTTAATCTCCATCCTGGTGTCAAAAGGCAGTGTTCTGTCATACTGATTTTACATCAGTGAAAATCACCTCATGAGGAGTTTGTTTATGTGTAAGCGTCAGAAATAAACAGTGGCAGGAGGGTTGAGGTATTTCTTTGAGGCTGTTCACGAAGCATTACTCAACTTAATGCAATGTACAACAGAGCACATGCCCCGCATAACTCAAGTGCTACGATGGAAACGTATAGCTGCGTGTTTATGCGTCAGATGAAACTGAAAACCTTTGTTGAGATCTCATCAGCTGAGTCAGTGCCACTAGTAAATTCTGACTCACTGCCATCATGGAAAGTGTATTGAAAATATCCACCATGTTATTGTGTTGTTTGGCAGCAGAACCTTTCACAGGAGAGGACGGATGGTTTTGGAACATGATGAACTTTGGGTCACAAGGAAGCCCGTCACACTATCCTATGCAAGATGGCAGTACCTGAAGTATACGACTGTAATCTTAGCACTGTCTTCTTTTAATAATTTCCCAATGATGCTTAGACTGTGACAACAAATTATATCATGCTTAAGGAAAATCACACTTAATCCTGAATAGGAAGTATTTTTTACCAGACATGACAGCAGGGCTGGTATTGTTTTCACCTTGTGACTCTGTGTGTGTGTGTGTGTGTGTGTGTGTGTGTGTGTATGTGTGTGTGTGTGTGTGCATGTGTGATCAAGGCAAAATGTGGTCCTGGTGGCACCTATTGTGGTGGGAACTACTACAGAAGCTGTTTTGCCAGGTGTTAATTGTCAACGTGATAGAGTCACAACTGTGCAAGATGCAGTCGAGGAACTTTATAGATGTTTTCTCATGAGTTTCCCTTTCACACATGTAGCACACAGCAGGGGATTGTCTGTGTCAGAAACGTTCTCACCTACTGGAAATACTCCGTTTGGTTTAGGCCAGTGGGTTGTGGTCTAAAAGTGGGTCACAGGTCCATTCTGAATGGATTGCAAGTGACTCAAACTTTATTTCAAAGTACAGTGAATTTCTGCAACAACATGGTCAAACGCAAGTATGACGCTGAACAGAATAAACTGCGTGGACCTTGAACTAATGAATGAGGAGAAATTTGGACCCTGTGGCTGGACCAATTGGGAACCACTGGTTTGGGCAATGGATGGTGCCTGAGTAGACCGTGCAGGAGACAAGACATTACATGGATTACAATGTCACGTAGCCAGTTTGTAATTTGGTCATAAAGAACAGAGTCATCCTTGAATTGGTCTCATGATTTTGGCTTCTGCCATTACACCCTTTATTGTAAACTTTATTCCAGTTTTGTGCAAGCTGCATCATAGAAATCATCATGTCATCAACATACCAACTCATTTGCTGTGAATTCTCTGGACAAATAGCTGTGCAATTTACACATGAGCTCATTCTGACATTACGTAGACTTTTTACTTGGGAGCTGGCAGGTAAAGTCAGTTTAATGTACGATCGAACTGACACTGGGACATTTGCATTCTCAGATACAGCTCTTCTCTGTAATGTCTAGATAATTTCAGGTTTGCAATGCATGTGTGAAAGAGCCAAAGGCTGAGTTCAAGGATGGTCCCAGTAAGGGGGCCAGAAGTAGGGGAGTAGGAGGTAGGGAAGGGGCAAATGGCCCTGGCCCACATACGTCTTAAGTCACAGATCAGTGTATCCCAATTCCCATTACTTATTTGTTGGTGATATTGATTGTGGAGATGAAAACTCAAAAACATTTTCAATATATTTTCTACATTATCACTTTCAAGGTTGATAAATGTGTTTTGTATATTCTGTAGGCTGCAGGATACCGTTTGCAATGTAAAAGTTGTAATGTAAACCCTGAGAGATCACTATAGAAAAAACCCTCTGACTTTTTTCTTGGTTTCTTTTTTAGAAACAAACAGGTTTAATATCTACAAAAGCGGAACGGAACAATTGGCATAGCTTACAAGGCACAAGCAAACAGAATGTACAGTAATATAAGGGTGTTAACTGTATACAGTCTTTTGAGTGTTGACTTGTCTTGTTATGTACTGCTCCATTTTAGGAGGAGGTAAGGCTTCTCAACCAGAACAGTAAACACATAGCCGACCACCAGTGTGAGCACCAGGTGGCCAAGGAACATGTACATCTGAAAAAGACAGGAGGCGTCAAGTTAGAAAGGCTCAGACAAATAATAATCTAATTTGATATATGTCAGCATGGAGCAAGTGTGCTGACTTACAAAGTTGAGGTCTGTGTAGTGGATTGGGGTCTCTTGCAAGCCGATGTAGAGGATGATGAAGACAGGATGTGTCAGATAGCAGGCAAAGCTAATGTTAGAAAGAGGAACCCAGAAACCCTGTGACAAGAGGCTCTTGATGAAACCTGAGAAACAGTGAGAAACACAGAGGAAGATGTAGCACAGATTATACTCATGTTACTAAACAACAAGTTGGCAGACATGCAACTTATATCTTTGTATTCTTTTGTCTCATATTGCCACATCTGAACTTTGAAATCAAATTAAAATTAAACAGTGAGTTCCTGTATTATAGCCTGGTCAATCACATGATATAAAGCATGATCAAGTGCTCTGAATGCAGAAGAAACCAATACTTGAATATTTGTTACTATGCATATTTAAAATTGTATTTTGCTTTTCCTGATTATGGGATTTGGAACATCCCTGCTCTTGGTTTACCTCCGTAACCCTCCTCACAGGCCACTATGATCCAGGTCACAGCCAGAGCCCAGAGTGGCCTGTGCAGTCCCTGGTAGAGGGCATGTGGCACAGATGGATGAGCTGGGGTCTCCCTGAGGACATATGCCAATCCCACCACCACAGCCATGAGTGACAGACAGCAGAGCCAACCAAGCACCGCCTGCCACTGGATTAACAGCAAGAAAAGACAATCACATGAGTGTGACAGCAGCTTCATCTATTTTATGTATACTGAATCTTTTTGGCCCAAAGACCATATGATGTGTTAAAATTTCTAGAATAAAGAATAAGCTGTGTGTAGTGATCCTATCAGGGAAGTTCTCACCTTTTGCTTTAACAGCTGATTTTTCTTTGTTGTCAAGTATATTCCAGTCAAGATTCCTACTAAAAAAGGGCCATACCTTGTGTGGGGTTTCACATAGTAATACAATACGTAATTTTCAGATGTCCTGCAAAATAATAAAACAAAGAAATCAGTTTATTTGTTTGAATGTGAATGTATGGTTACTTGTTACTTTCTTTTACATTCACATTCTAAAAATTATTTGCAGATCATTGCATTCTGTTTGCAACTATTTTGAAATTGGGGTTGTACAATTAAGTTTGCTTTAGTTCAAGATCAACATCATTAAATCTTACAGTGTTGATGGCTGAAACACCGGCAGCTGCAGGAGTGCAGTTATAACAGCACTGACCACAGTGGTCATCAGCAGGAGGCCTCCAGCGACAACCACAAACACACCTCTGTTTCTGATAAACAAAAGACAGGATGAAGAAAAATTACAGAAATAGAGTTGTCAGTTCAGCTGTGGCCGAGTTTCAGAAATGTAAATTGTCCAAGGTAAGAACAAAGGACATACAGTCTGTAAAAATAGACCAGCAGAGGAGTGGTGGCATAACACTGGAAGTCCAGAGACAGGTACCATGTCCAAGGAATACACTGAGGAGAGATTGGGAAAGAAAATGATAAGCAATAGATCAGCATAGATGTATTTCAAAATAGAATCAGAGGTACTGAATTATTGCTTAAACTTACTATCTCATGGACTGGGAGCAGGTTACTAATCAACAGCAAATTAGCCCACCAGTAGGTCTTACAATCCATCAGCGCATCTATAAATGGAAACGAGTAGGGTCCCCACTGAATCAGTGAGATTAGGCTGATGGTTAGACACATGATAAACAGATGCAGTGGTTGAATCCTGCAAAAAAAGGAAACAAAAAGAGAATTCACGTTTACATTACTGGCTTTAGATCACACATCTTAATCATAACGACCAACATACTGTACCTTTTAATCCTCCTGAAGAGGTAGTTAGCGATCAAACTGGGACTCAGTTTGTCTTCAGCCCTGTTGATGGAGCCCAGCAGAGACCTCGCACTGAGCAGACCCCTACAACACAAACGCTGCTCTAGAAACTGTTTTTACAGACACACATTGGTTTTAAACTTTCTGTGGTGTCAGTCTCACCCGAGCAGTAAAAAGGTGTCCACAGCCAGAAAAACAGGCCCGCTGATGGAGAGCACATGCAGAGGGCTGCTTTCAACTGTTTTCTTCCAGTTTTTGTAGTTGTCTGCAAAAGAGATGATGCAAGATGTCAAAATATAATTTTGCAGACTGAATGAGCATGTGGCAGGCTTGTCGTACCCAGATTGTTTATTACGGGGAACTGTGCAGAGTGTCCACACATGATCCATAACAGGCTGAGAACACGGATGCCATTAAGGGAGGAGTAGCCTCCTCCTGGGATGGATGAGGAGGTGCTTAATACACCCTGGCTGGTGGTCTGTAGAGAGAACGCCTGAAGGCACCGGTACACACAGCTTTGAGGAAAACGCAGTGGAGTGCGCCTGGTACCTTCTGAAAGACAACATTTAATACACTTTTCACCTATCTTCTATCACAGAACAGACTTATGCTAGTGATGCACCATCTGGCAAACATCTTGAGGAAATCTTAGGGAACATGTACTTAAACAAAATCACATAATACACATTGTACATACGACTACTATTTTCCTCTGAAGTGCTGCTATTTATATCGCTACTGGAGGAGCTGTTGGTCTTCAGGGTCCCATAAAGGTTCAGGCCAGTGTTTAAACAGGAAGACGCCGCTGTTGGACTGACCTCTCTGTTCCGGTGCCACCGTATTATAGCTGTAAACAGGGTAGCTGCAAGAGGAATTGCTACCATTGTACAACACACAAACCTGCAGGAGAAAAGGTGTCTGTGTTAGGTGACGACTCGCCAGTGTAAGAGACAAAAACAGAGTGAAGTCCTGAAATTCTCCAACTCAGTTTCCACATGCAGATAAGACAGTAGATACGTTAAAACAAGTCACATCCAATCATATACTGACAGACAGGTGACATCTGATGCATCAGGGGCAATGGTGTTGGGCAAGCAGTGGGTCATGATCATCTCCTGAGTGGACTGATTGACCAGGATGGGAGGTAAAGGAGGGATGAGGGACATCTTACCAAACTGCAGTCTCCCTGTAAAAAGGTAAAACAAGTCACAAGTCAAACAAAAAGACTAACTGAGTGACGTTATTCAATGAAAATAAATCTTAAAATCACTGACCGTACAGGACCAGCATTTCCACATCATCTTCCCCACAGGAGTCAGGAACACAAATGCCCACAAAGTACTGGACTGTTCCCTATGATGGTGAAAACACTTTGTTCAAAATCTAAATCAGAATGACATTTTATCTTGTTTAATTACACTGTTTGTCGTTACCTGCCTAAGGAACACCTGGCAGTACTGTCCAGAGAAGGCGGGACCGTGTGCAGAGCGACACTGCTGCAACAGGCCAGGCTGGTTGGCATTGCCTCCTTCAACATTGCTACCCAGCTTTCCAAATGCATCGTACACTGTCAACACACACACGCAACACCAGACAACACACAAGTGCAACTTATTATGAAGAACAAAACATTTACTCTCCAAAATCCTTTAAAAAAAAGAGACCGAATTCAGAAAACAGAACATGTTAAATGTAATACTGAAGACTGATTGTGATTGCTCCCTTAATTCAAGTAAAAACATTTGGTGACTCTTTAAAACCCTAATTTAAAGCAGATATAAACCACACAGGGGACATGTCCCCCTCAATATTTAGAACCTGTGAATTTATCTCAAACAATAAAAACATGAAAGGATCAAATGATTCTGACAAAAATAAAGACGCCATAAAACGTATAAATTGATGTGTAAAAATTCACCAGAGAGTAAGAAAAATAAGTGTTTGATGCTAAACATTTTCTGGAGGTGGATCCCCAAACCCTGTTTCATATGTGTGTGTGTGTGTGTGTGTGTGTGTGTGTGTGTCTCCCTGTATTATCATAAGAAATCTATGCCCTTGCAAGATGTCATTTGATTTAGCATAAAGTTTTCAGTGTCCCTTACACAACTTTGTTATACATTGTAAAAGATGAAACTGTACAGGCTTATGTGCTTGACGTTAGGGGACTTAGTCCTATCCGTGGTGCATCACATCCTCATTTTTGTGACATCTGTGTTGCCAAGGTTGTTGTTTTGTTCTTCATTTCCTTCCTTGTATACAAATTATAACTTGTGTTGTTTTAGTGTGTACTTTTTTTACTCTATTATTTTTTGTATTGTATGTTACTTTCTTGCTCCCTGTATTTGTCTCAATTGGACATTACTTTATCTTGCCTCTGTGTTGGATACAGATCGCTGCCTTTGCGCTGTGCTTATTATCTGTCCTTGAAAAAGAAGAGAAAAAAAGATGAAAGTGTGCAAAAAATAATATAAAACAAAATAAAATGAAATACAATAAAAGAAAGAAATTAGTTTTTTTTTATGAATTTACAGAGGGAATTAAAATACTCAAAATGTGTCAACAAATGAATATTTTTTATAGTTATTTATTTATCATAAGAGGAAAAGGCCAAGCCGGGATCTATAAACGATTATTTAGCCTAAAAAAAGGTAAAAAAAATAAAAATAAAAATAAAATAAAATAAAATAAATAACAAAAAGATGTGATACGCTAAGAGACACGTTTAAAACAGCAGTGAAACAGCGCCCCTCTGTGTTGGGACGGTCAGATGTGGTACTGCACCCTTATTACAGGTGGTGAAGACCAAACAGGTGAAGGTGTTTACGTTGATTACTGTCACACAACGAGACACGGTCCATATGATGCGACAGTAAAACTGCTAATGGACAGGTTTTTGGAAAAGAAATTTAGAGGTAAAATCTGAAGTCAAACTCAGACTTCACAACAAAACAACAATAGGTAATATTTAAACGACACTAGAGTTAGCTTGTTTTTCAGTGCTGTCAGTTAGCCGTGTTGTTATGAATCTAACGTTAGTTAGCTAGCAGCTAGTTCAGTAGTGTTAACCATCTGAGTAACAAGTGTAAAGACATGGGACATGGATATGGACTACTTCATCTCTATGAATAAAAACAGGACGGTCTTCAAGGGTGAGTCAAATACTCTGTCTGTCTGTCTCTTTTCTCACAGTTGTATATCTCTGTGGTTGTCTGTTTTGTCATTATAAAGTGATATAAGTGATACTCAACTTGCTGCCCTCTAGCAAAATCTGGCCCCCGATAGGCAGCTGCTGGCCCCCCAATCATTTTCTAATTCACAGTGATAATAAATTGATTCACACCTGGGTTTATTTTCGTAATTGTAATATACTGTGCCAGAGTGCAAAAAAAAGCATCAAGAAAATGCTAGGAGAGGACCCTAACAGAGGTCCAGTCTGTGTACACCTGACCTATGCAGGACTGCTGCCACTCTCCCGAGGCCTCCTGTCTTTTTGCAAAAGTGGCCCCCAGGCAAAGCAAGCTGAGTATCCTTGGTGTGCTTTATACATAGACACAGCCACAGTGTTAGAGCTAGCAGAGTTTTAAATAACATGTAATTTCCCCAATTTTACATTTACAGCTTGTTCATTCACCTGCTGGTTGTTTGTAGCCAGAGTAGAAGGTCTGCTAGTTTCCTGTGAGTATTCATTCATTCCTGTTTTGTTTTTAGGCTGTGCTGTATAATGATGATAATAACAATATACTTTAGCACCTTTCGTACACAAATTGCAGCTCAGAGTGCTTTTCAGAATAGACACTTGAATTGGCAGACCATTAAAAGAACAATTAAATGTTTTAAAATGAGGAAGAATGTAAAATAAACAGTTATAAGCAGTTTTGAAATAGCAACAGAAATGATAACCACTTTCACCATCATAATAACAATTGAAATCCTTTGTATATTCTTGGTGTAGTGAACATTAAAAAGTAGCTGCAATACTGGGGGCTTTCTTATAGGCCTACACCTAGATAAGATGAAGAGATAAGATTGGAAGTCCTGTATTTGATACATGCATTGATGTTTTTCGATGTGAACATGTGTGCTTAGATCTTTGTAGGCTTTATAAGAATGCATATTTATGCACATTTCTTTTTGCATGTGAATGTAAGTCTGTTGTCAAAGTTTACTGTTACGTGGAATGGTACTACAAATCTCATTGTCCTGTTTAGTAACATTTTTATATGGCATGTCTAACTGATGGCTACAGATCTACAGATCCACACATGGATAAAGGAGCTCAGTTTCAAAGTTAATGTAACTGGCTCCTCTAAAAGAACAGCAGGCCCCTGTACTTTAAGTGAGTCTGCCTGACACTCATTACAAAAATCTCAAGTGACTCTACAACTTAACATTCAGTATCAAAAAGCCTTTCAAAAGTCAGCAATACTTACTGAGTACAGCGTATTCCTTCGGCCTGTCTTGCTTAATTTCCCAGAGGAACGTGTTGGTGTCCTTCATACATCTTTGAGACACAGTCAAGGTCTTTGTATTTTCCAGCGCTATACTACACCCTCCAAACAGAATAAACGCCATCCAACCCAGGGCCATGTTTAGGACTGACTGCATCTTTTTAGTGGAGAAGGTATTTAAATAACATTAGAGGGGACACATCATCATGAAGAAGGTATAGCGTGAAATTCATCTTGTATGGGGGGGATTGAAAAACTGCTTTGGGAACTGCTTGTGATCTTCCCCACCTGGTTTTCTATGTCAGGTGTGAACAGGATTTGGTTACATGAGGATGAGAGGTGAACAAAAAGATGCAGGCTGTGATTATGGTCACCACACAGGATCAGAATAATTAGAGTGCAGGTCTAATAATGATGGATACATAGTGTTGGCCTGTAGTCCCATCACTACCACTGCAAAGACACATGTTTTACAGTGGTATCAGTCTGATATTGATTCTTCTAATAATTTTAACATTCTTTTACTTAATTTTTTGAGATTGTTTTTACAGGAACTGTGTGTCTCAGGCTAGAATACAAGAGAGGCAACACAGTCAAGTAATTAAAATATATTAACAATGGCCGCTAGAGGGTGAGCTTGTCCTAAAAACCTACATGAATTGCTGTACCATGCAGTAGTGAGGGAAACCATCTATACACATTCAGTAAAATGCTATATGTTACATAATTCTAGTTTTTGTGCCAATGCTAGACAGAGATGATAATTTAGTTACCCAATGGCTAGGTCAGTAGACTTACCTGAGTCATTTTACTTTACAATACAAACAAAACATTGTTCATGTTTCCTGTTTTATGCCCAGATTGTGGAATGAAAACATGCTTCATGTAGCTGGTGCTGCTGTGACCAAACAACTATCTCCTAGAAATTACATTAATATACGAAATAATTTTGTCTTGAAGGAATCATAATTTATTTTTCTGTGTTATGTCCACTGAGATGTTCTTTCCTGTGCAGTCCAGGAAGTATTACAGAAGTGTCAGAGGCTTTAACGCTTTGGTCAAACCAGCATTAATTGATTTTTGGCCTCTTGGGGGCATTCGATAAGTTGTAAAACAACAGTGATATAGTAGCACCTTATAAGGTTGACATGGCAAAGTTCACACGATAAGACATTTGCCTATTTACCCTTTTAGGATATATGGAGCCCGATATCATTTATTTGGTGACCTGACAAATGTTTGTTGAACTCTCTTAAACTCTCCTTTTAGCTCTGTATCTGTCCACACTAGGGTTTTTCAGGGTGTGACTGTCTAAGGTGTGTTCACACTGAAGGTGATGTGAGTGTTTCACAAGGCACGATTACAAAAAAAGTCAATGCAAAGACATGAACATACTCACATTTGCAACAGGTGACATGAATGACGTGATGAGAATGATGCTCAAATTGAAAAATTTCAACTTGAGCATCATTCAGTGTGTGAGATGCTGTATCACAGAACTCTATCAGCACTGAGATCAATTTGAGATTCTCTTGACATAACCTAGCATCAGAAATGCAGGACAAACATTGTCGCTGTCTGTAGACACCCACAGATTTGCGACTTGGACTCTACAGAGACAGAACTGAAAATGAGAGGGCTTTAAGGTCAGTGAGTAAAGCCATAGGACTACTGATAAGTTCTGAGAATATGTATTTGTGTCTTGCGTAAGCTATTTTGTTGAGTTGCTTTCTAAGCTAAATGCTCTGGGTAAGTTAAGTTGGTCTTTTGTTGTGTAAAGTAAACAATGGAAGGAATGAAGTGGTAATGTGCTGCTGTGACAGAACATTGACATCTTTGTTCACTCTGGTTCAGAGCATGGAGCCTCCGCTTTTACTGTGTTCATTCACTTTATTCTAGCTAGTAGTTGTACTACACTGCACACTATGTTAGCAGTGAGCTACCTTCCCCAGTTAGTTAGCATGAGTGGTACAGCTGGTAAGGTGCAAGAATAGTGGCTGTATACGCATGAGTAAGGTGATGAGAAAATATGCTTGGCATTGTTGTGGAAACCACAAGAGCTTAAGAATGTGATGCTTCTCAAGGAAGTTCTGCCTTTTGTTTTTGCATTTTTTACATTGGCCACCATAGTTCTTCTTCACACTTGGCATATGGGAATAGTTGCAGTTGGTTGCAATCTGCAGCCTCACTTCTAGCTGCCACTAAATTTTATTTGATTTGTTTTTTGGGCTTTTTGCCTTTAATTGACAGGAGAGAGTGAAATGGGGGAGTAAGAGAGAGTGGGGGGATGACATGCAGCAAATGGTTGCGAGCCGGAGTCGAACAGACAGGAAAACCAAAACAGTGAGCTGAAAGACTAACCAAATACCACAATCTTTTTGTAACCTCAAACACTGAAAATGTTGATATTTTCCATTTCTACACAAACCTACAATGTTTTTAACCGTAACCAGGTGTCTTGAGTTACCTAAACAAAACCACAGCTTGTGTTTTAGTTTCCATAAATGGTTATCATAGAAAAAAACCCAACAAAAAACATCTTGTCATTTTGCAACTTTTCAGATTAGCTCATTGTAAATACTTTATTATTGATAAGACATTTAATCCATTAGGTTACTCTCAAATCATATTTTCTGTTTCAAATTAGCAATATAAAAAATATTTGCTCGGGGTGTTGGTGGCTTAGTGGTAGAGCAGGCGCCCCATGTACAAGGCTGTTGCCGCAGTGGCCGGGGTTCGAGTCCAGCCTGTGGCCCTTTGCTGCATGTCATCCTCCCTCTCTCTCCCCTTTTCACACTTAACTGTCCTGTCCATTAAAGGCAAAAAATGCCCAAAAAAAATATCTTAAAAAACAACAACATATATATTTGTTTATGAGACGGGGTTGGCATTGAGGATTTGGGTAAAGTTAGTTATAGTTTTTATATCACTCATACTGAAACACTACAAAAGAGGGCTGTATGAAAGTCAGGATATTTATATTAAGCTTTGATTGCAGGACATTTAGATGTCAAACACCTGTTATCAAAATCCAGCATTTAGACTTTAGCTTTCGTGGTAACACAGACACAAACAGACACAAACAGCACTATAACAGCATGAGTATGAATGATCATGAGAGGATTTCTGATATTTCCACAGAGAGGAGCTGATGTCTCATGTGCAGTCGACATCAGATCTTACCTCTGGCAGGTTTTATCATTTATTGACATAAAGCACAGCTTTGTACAGAAGCATCAGAAATGTCTAAAAACAGCAGCAGCAGCAGCAAGATACATTCTAATCAACAAACAATTCACAGACTGCTTCTCACATGCAGTTTTACAGCGCAAGATGGTTAAAGTCTTATTGTCAGAGTAGAAAAACTACTGTCCAAAATGGAATTGTGTTGTTTTTTTTTTTTTTTTTGGGAAATGCTTTGAAAAAAGATAGCGATGGAAAACAATCCTGTGATTCTCTCAACTTTCAGTAATTGTTCATTTAATAGAACTGGTTGTCTCGTATCAATAATTCAGTTTCACAGCCAAGTTTACATTCACAGAAGTTTTTCTTCTTTCCCAGTGTTATTTCTGTCAATGAACGCTCAATATGTCTTCACATTAAAACCACAAACTGAAGAAACAAGGAAGAAAATGACAATAATGACCTTAGTTATAAGACTGCTGTTAAAAGAAAGGCAAGTGCTTTTTATCATATTTTAAATATTCCGGTAAATAAACCTTTTTTTTTCGGTGACCTGTAATTACAAAGAGCTGCCATATACAGTTTATATTAAAACAGGAATGAAACAAGTCTGACCATCTTGTACAAAATATAAAAGCTACAACAAATTTGGCCCACATATTAGTCTTTAAAAGACTCCTGTTCGGATGTTAAATGTTTTACATAAACATTACACAAAACTGGGAGTTTTAAACTCATTTCCAAATTTTTGTTCTGTATGTAATTGATATGTAAATAATTTAACAAAGGGGTAAGGAGATGCTGCAGAAAACAGGCTTTATCTTTGCCTAATATGCTCTGATATTTCATGTTATTTCACCTCAAAATGAATGCAGAGATTAGGGCTGCACAGTGAATCGAAACATTATTGAAATCGCAATATGGCCAAGTGCAATATCCAAATCACCAGAGCTACAATTTTTTGATAATGGTAAAATGTGTTGCAACATATTATTATAAATGAAGCATTGTGGTGCTACAGAGATGCCCCGGCCTAAAAAACATATTCTCGACGTAAGGGAACATTATTTGTATGGTACAGATCCCGGCAAAAATCACATCCTCATCATTTTCATATTTCTTTCAGTGAAAATGAAATGTAAAAATTACCATTCCCACTGAAATTGCAACTCATATCGCAATTGCAGTATCTGTTAAAATAATCACAATATGACACTTTTATGAGTGGTGCAGCCCTAGCAGAGGTTTTGTTTCAGGATCAATACTTTCAGGATGTCTTAGAAGGAAACCAGAGCCAGAGTTTTATGTAGAAGCTGAGGACGGCTCAGAGAGAATATCCATGCATGAAAATGAAAAATAAAAAAACCCAACCTGAAACATAAAGAATGTTTAAAGGGCCAGTGTGTAATATTTGGCATGGTTTATTGTCAATCTGAATCTGAATCTGAATATTCTACCCATTAATATGTTTATATAAGTGTATAATCGCTATAAAATAAAATTCATTTGGTTTTCGTAGCCTTATAATTATGCTTTTATATAT